GCTCGGTACAACAGTAGTAATTTTTTTTATTACATGTTACAAAATTGAAACCTTAATTTATATTCAATCATACGAATTATGCTTCAAATACAAACTTCCGTTCCATAATCGAGCAATGCTAAGAATCTAAGATTTTTAAGTTTAAATTGTATTACTGAATTTAAATTGAGGTTTCAGTTTTGAAACATTGGATTTTTGATGTTGCGATGATTATATATTAAAAAACATTTGTAATATATATATATATATATATATATATATATAAGTGTGTGTGTGTGTCTAGGTACCTCCAGTGACTCGCTAAAAAATGAGCTTACATGATAGAAAACTGTCCGAAATTTAATAACAATGTTTTTTTATCATCGAAATATTTTTGTTATTATTTAAAGGAAAGACCAAAATTATTAAAATATATTTTTTAAATTCTGTTTAGTACTTTCTAAATTCTAGTAATTTTTTTTATTTTTCTTGCCTCAACGGTTGACCACAAACTAAAAATGGAAATTTTAATATCATTTCGTAATATAAAACACATTGATTTGGAAATTCTTTAAAAAATCAAATAATTGTCGATTTTAATAAAACTTTCAGGACTTATTCACCAATGAATGAAATTATATGAGAGAATTAACAGGAGATAACTGATAACCGACATCGATTAGACATGAAACTAGAACTGTCTACCCCAGTGAGCGGAATAAAGTGTTCAGTTCGACATTTCAACCACCTGAAGAAGGCCGGTGCGTACAACAGCCGAAACGTTGTGATAAATATGGCAACAATGATGAGAATGATAGTCCGAGCAATGTAAATAGTGTATATAATACCTCATCTCAGAAATATTGACAGATACTTAATCTATTACTTTGAAATTACAGCTTCAAGAAAGATTTTTTTATTTTAAAATATACATTTTAAACTGCACTGATCAATTTTTTTTGAGATACATACATACATATATATATATATATATATATATATATATATATATATATATATATATATATATACTAAAATATAGTTTTAACGTATGCTATATTCATGGCTAAAATGCTTAATATCGGAGATAGATCCTATGTCAGTGGAGATTGAGATCATTACTAAGCAGCGTCAGTGTTTCATGCTTAAACGCAATCTTCAGGACAACCATGAAACAATGCCCAGTTTATATATATATATATATATATATATATATATATATATATAGATAGATAGATAGATAGATAGATAGATAGATAGATAGATAGATAGATAGATGATGCCACAGAGACAACCGCTTTTAATGAAATTTCAGAGATACAATGAAAACTACGTCGGTTTGAATGTTCAAATGTCCCGCAGTAAATGACATTAGTGAAGACTCAATCAGTTTGCTTCTTAAATTTGTTAAAGTTTAAGATATTATAGTGTAATTTCTGTGAGTAGAAATCAGCCTTTAACCTCTTTATCTACTTAGTAACCTGTAGTGATAAAAATCGTTCAAACTGAGTGGCAATGCTTTAGAATCAGAAAAATGAATGTAAGATCGTAAGAATATGTCAAAAACAAATAAATCAACAAGTTTTATTTGTGCGAGAAGACACTGGTAAATGTAAAAAAATAACAGAAAATATTCATATCAACCGAAAAAGTTGAAAAAACTTCTGCGTGAACAAATATTTCTTTAAGTAACATCATTACGAACAAGAAAGGCAGCGTCAAGAAGAAAACACATAAACATTATAAATAGTTTTATTATGGCGGACTTCCGGTCATTTAGACGAACAAACAAACTCCCGGAAACAACCCTGTTCGCAAGTAGAGAGAACTCATATGCGTGTAACTGCCTGTAGCGTGCGTGTGTGTCTACGTCTCTGTCTCTGTCTCTCTCTGTCTGTCTCTCTCTGTCTGTCTCTCTCTGTCTGTCTCTCTCTGTCTGTCTCTCTCTGTCTGTCTCTCTCTATTTCTCCATGTTTTACTAACCCTGACAGAAAAAAATGAAGCAAATCCATAAATCAGACAGATGATTAGAGATACGAAAACGGAGACAAATTCGATGGCGATTTTAAATGAAAAATCTATGCCCTTCATGCGTATGCAAATATTTAGTACTTATATTTTTATTTGTAACCTTTGTAGACAAGCATCCATGCATAATGCGTTATCATTCAGGTCATTGAACGCTGTATTTGTCTGTGTCTATGTGCGCATGCGTGCACAGTTGTATGTCCACAAATTGTTCCAACCACAATTTCCTTGGTTGGGATTTTGCATGGTGAAAGGGAAGAGAAAATATCGTCGTCCGGACAAACCAATATTTGCACATTTGCTATTGTGAGAAATGCAATTAGTTTTCTTTACTTTCGAGGTCTATCGATTTCTGGCTAAATCGACTTCCGGACACTTCTGTTTCCCTTTCTTTGAATTAGTCTCATATTTTCATATCTATCTATCTATCTATCTATCTATCTATCTATCTATCTATCTATCTATCTCAGTCTTTTCTTATCTATCTCCATTTGTTCATAGATACAGACAATTATAAATTGATAGATTCAAATAATTTATATCTCATTCTCTCTCTCTCTCTCTCTATATATATATATATATATATATATATATATATATGTAAGGTTGTTCATATCTATCTATCTATCTATTTCAGTTTATTAATTCACAAACACACGCGCATCCGCGAGCCCCGCATCGCTCACATGGAGGCATATATATATATATATATATATATATATATATATATATATATATATATATATATATATATCAGTCTTTTAATATATATATGCAAGTCTGTTCATATTTATCATCTATCCCAGTCTGTTTATACGTACACACGCACCTGCGCGTGCACACACACACACACACACACACACACACACACACACACACACACATATATATATATATATATATATCTCACTCTGTATGTAAGTATGTTCATATCTATCTATCGCAGTCTCTTCATATCTATCTACCATATGAATCTTTTTTTTTCTGTCATCAGTTTATCAGTATTTATATGATGGAAGAAATGCAAATGATACCGTATCACTTCCAGTTCAGCCCCGACTGCCTGATTGTCGATGACGTCTGCAGACAGCGAGGCACGTTTAATGAATCACTTGAGCAATTTTTAGCATTAACAAAAAAAAAAAAAAAAGAAGAAAAAAGAAAGTCTCCAAGTGTTGAGTTAAAAGATCTTTTTCATTTCTTTTTCATAACAATATACTGTTTAATCAATCCTTGGGTCATAAGGTGCAGCTTATTGCCAGCTCCCAGCAGTAAAAACTCTCGGACAATAATCCTTCTTTCTGAAACGAGAATTCCTTCCACAGTAGCAATATAATAATTCCGTATATCTTTTGTACATCACTAGAGAGCATTGGTTAGCGATGTTGTCTTGCACGGAAATAACTTAATATCGTGTTTTTAAATCTCTTTCCTTGTGCCACACCATAATAAATTAATAAATAATTATACGTGTGTGTGTGTAAATGAATTCTTCTAATAGATTTCTTTTGATCATTTCACCTCAATCAAAGTGATAAAGCCACTAAGAGTCAAGTAAAACTAAGTTTGACGGAAACTGAAAAAATATTAAGAAGGGAGACCAATGGAGAAGACAAAAAATGACGATTGAGATTGTATTTAAATTTTTGAAGATCAAAGTTGACACGAAAGCAAGAAGTCGGGAGGGAGTTCCACAAGCGGGGAAGTGCGAGAGAAGAAATTGTTAGCATAGAACTTACGGTTACATCTAACAATTTCAATAGTAAAATGTCGCCAGTCTAACACTGGTCTTAAATTAGTACAGAACAATTAGCATGAAAATATCTACAGAAAAGCCACAGGGCAGCTACATTACGTCGATGAGAGAGTGACGGTAGTCGAGATGTCAGGTCAGTACCGATAACATTGCAGATTATTGTTTGGACTTTATGAAATATCTCTAAATATATAGCAGAAGTACCAGACCAGATGTAGCAGTAATATTCGACGTATGGGCGAATGGTAGAGTTATGAAGGCGTAAAGTAGACACTGGCAAGAAGAAATGGCGTCCCAGTGTGGCAACGTTTTTAGCAGCAGGGCCAGTAATTGAGGCAATGATTTAATGAATTTATTTATTAATAGTGCGACATTTTTATTACTTGAGTTTCAACTGTGATAACGTTTGAAGTAAGAAAAAATGTTGGATTAAAAATAGATTCATTAAATCTCCAGAAATTGCTTTGTTTGAATTTCGGATACGAGATGGAGCAGACGTGAGCACTCTGAAGAGAATATTCCTGCCTTAAAAAGGGAAAATAGAGTCTTGCTTATTAGGATATACTTCCTTATCCGATCAATAAAGCATGTTGGACAAACAGCGAATGATCCCAGTTGGAGAACACATTCTTTTTGAATACAGAATTCTCGGAAGCGCAGGCCGATGATAGACCTAATACATAATATTTAGTAAATAAAAATGGCACATCTATTTCAAATACGAAGTGTCTGCTATAATAGCATTTCAAGTCATATATATATATATATATATATATATATATATATGTGTGTGTGTTTGTGTGTGTTTGAGTATACGTAAATATTATCTTAAAAAGCTATAACAACCTTACCAAGCTACTGTAGTTTCCCCACACCCTCAGATTCTGATTGAAACTTAGTAACTCCCTATTTATTTAAAGATCCGAGGGGTGATTCTGCGGTAGGGTGTTAAGTCTGTTATATCTTTTTTTACGATAATATTTACAAATATTGCTCTACGGACTAGATATTGAACATTTTGTAAAATCGACCTGAATTAGTCGAGTAGACTTTATCCAGTAGTTGATTTATGCAAGAGGATGGACCATCCATTGGCGTTGAATAAAACCAAACGTACTTAGCGTTGGCTGAAATAGATTTAGACCCACATGATAGGTAATTTTGACTTTTTTGCTGTGTAATATATATATATATATATATATATATATATATATATATATATATATATATATATATATAGTCTTAAGGTGTGCTATATTAAGTGCTCAATATCAGAGATAGAGCGTGTGTAAATATAAAAGTGAACACTGAAGTCAACACTTAGAGGCGACGGGCTGTTTCATGCTAGACGCAATCGTCAGGCCATAATAATATAAAACAATTCAAACATTATACTAGAAAACAAATCATGCAATAGAAGATTTGTTTTGACTACAAAAATTAGTTACTTGAGTATCTGATTTTTTTTTCTTTTCTTTAATCAAGAATTTTATCGTTTCCATTAAAATGGAACACGTCTTTTTGGCATATCCAAATTGCTAGTTTCACTTCTGGGACCATTACTAAGTAAAATTTTGATTTTGGACTGACTCCGGATAAGGGTGCAAATTAAATGATTCAGTTTTACCGTCTTTGGACAAGTTTTATATTTGAATAAAGAGGTGAAGATTATTGACAAAAATGTAAGCCATAAAAAAAGCCGTAGTGTGAATAGATATGGTGTGAAAAATTATTTCTGTAAAATTTTCGTCACGTAATATTTATAAAAGGCAAATCGGCATGATTCAGTAAAGGAGCGTGGGGGGTGGCATTTTGGCATCACCAAATTGGTAATTGTTTATTTCAGTTTTGAATGCAGAAATTAGTCTACGTGTAGTTCACTATTTTAAAGAAATTGTTCTATTATCATGATGACCGTCTAATTTGTTGTTTCAGTATAAGCCTCTGATCACTGTTAATATTATAGATTATATAAAAGTTACGTATTACAAATCAACTTTATAGTGTTTAACAGGATAAATACAAACTAACATGCAGTTGATCTTTAATCATTTTCTGATTCGAACAGATCCAATGGATTCCATTTATTGATTTTATAGATTAAAGGTGATTTTTTTCAGTGATTTTTCAGTAATGTCTGCCAATCTTAATCAATAAGAGTTTTGATTCGAAGTCACCCTTAATTCTGAAGGTGAAATTTAAATAAGCCTAATCAGCCAATAAATCCGCCTCTAGCATGTAAATATACAACACCTCGTTTATTAAGTTTAGCTTCGTTTATTAATAAATTCAACATTTTCCGCCTCCTCCGCCCCCAACAATGGCGCTTATTATGTTTTGTGTTGTATGTCAAAAGTTTAAAGGGAATCTATCTGAATTGTGCTGTGTTCATGTCTGAAGCTGCGATTTTTTTGTAATCTCTCCTCCCATCCCTAACTACTTTTGCTATCAACGAGAAATACATGATTAATTTCTCTTTCACTGTTTTCTGCAACACCGAAAACAAATATTGTTGCACTTCTATATCTGCCCTCCTTGTATTCGTGTGATTACTGTGAGATTTTGTCACGAAAAAGAAATCGATCAGTATTGCGATGAAATGGCCTTACGAAATGCACCGAAAACAAATTGTCAAAATGGTTGATATTAAATATTAGCCAACAATACATACTTTACTAAAACATGTAAATATAATGTGAATATCCCAGAAAATTCGAGATTAAATTATAGAATATAGAGCAAAAGGCCCAACATTGTGTGTGGAGAATGTGTCGGGTCTTACTACCCTTTTGATAAATGATTCACATTTACCTACACAACCAATATTCAAATTAAGTTGTTCTAAATTCCTCCGGTTAGATCTACTGTTCAGCTGCCTGTATCAACCGACCATTTTCAAATAATCCCTATATTTTCAGATAATTTTATAAAAGGAAATATATCAACATCAGAGTTTACCACATGAAGAAACTGTCTCTATTTCTGAGATGAGGTATTATGTACACTATTTACATTATTCGGACTATTGTCCTGATCTTTGTCGCCATATTTATTACAACTTTTCGGCCGTTGTACTCTCCGGCCTTCTTCAGGTGGTCGGTGTGTCGAACTGAACCCTTTATTTCGCTCACTGGGGTAGACTGTTCTAGTTCCACGTGCCATGTTTTAATGGATGTCAGTTATCAAGGACACATGGCACAGTGGATAAGTTAGATCCAGTGACAGGACCCAAAGAGTGTGAGTTCAATACCCTGTTAAGGTAGTGGAGAACTTGCAGAGGGGAATTAACTGGAGATAATTGATAAATGAGGATGATAGTCCGAATAATGTAAATAGTGCACTTATAAAGCTGTATAAAATTCAGATGAAAAACCCGAAGATAAATATAAAAGCAAGTAAATATTCCTACAAAATCCTTTTACTAAATAGTTACATCAAGATGATCCTCTCTCAGGACACAACCATGGACTTTTTGTCAAACTCTGCCGAGGATATTCCATTTTACTACAACCTTAACAGCAATATAAGGGTTACAGAAAGAATCGTCCATACCGAGAGTCTCAAATTGTTTACTGAACACAGAATCAAATAGGTTTTCTCGAGCAAAGAAACCACATTTCTAAGAAGAGAAATAGTTTCCAACGCCAAAAAATGTTTGTAAGACATGTGGGTTACGAAGCCTTAAATAAGCTTGTGCTTACAGCCGTATATTGAAAGAAGACTGGCTTAAAGAATTC